GCATGTTTCATGCGCAGATCAACCTGAAAATACAGAATAATTGCAGAAGGTACACATTAAATCATGTGCCTAAAATAAAACCTTGACAAAAGAGCTGATCCTAATTATTTTATCCTCCTGAGTGCAGGTGTTTAGTCAATCACTCTGCCGCTCCTGCTTCCCTTTAGGCTAAACGTCTTCACCTCTGTGCTCCGTCAGTCTTGTGATTTACTGAACTGGGGGACTTTAACTCTTGAACACTGTTAGTTCCCCGGTAGCTATAACAGCCTAGGTGTTAGACAAGAGCCTATTATCACACCCAGACACCGGCTGCACTGCAAAAAAAAGCCTCAGCGGAGCTCTCTCCCCTATAAGCATTTCCATATGCCTGCGACAGACCTGCTGGACCGACCCAGTGTTTGTCTTTCAGGCTGTGGTGGAAGTGCGGGAGACAAGGTTGAACTTCAAGAGTATAGCTATCTAAGATGAGTTTTTTTTGGTCATGCAAGAGGCAGGCACTTAACCGTGCCACGCTTAATATTTTCCATGCTGCTTATGTTGGTCAGATGTGTTGAGAAACACTTTGCGGATGATATATTGGATGCTGTTATTCATTTCAGTCACACATGTAGGAACGAGATGATAAAGGAGGAAAAAAGAAGAGAGGGGGAAAAGGTTCAAGGCAGCAACGTGATCTCTTCACTCCTCTTTATTGTTCATTTCAGAGAGAGGTGCTCCCTCAGGGCGTCAGCATCTGTTTAACAAAATATCTGTATGGTTGAACTAGAAAGCACACCGCTGTGTATGAATCCTTGTTTAACGCTGTTAAACAAATTAGAAAAAGCACTGAAGACAGGATGAAAAATGCTCTTTTCTTAAGTTTGAACTTGAAGAACCTTTCCTTGCCAACCTTTTCATCTGTCTTCTGATTCCTTTTTCAAATCTTCTAGGAGTCTCAAATGGCAAAGAAGTGTTCCAGTTCAACCTGTCCTCCATCCAAAACTCCGAGCTCATCCTCTTCGCCTCTTTTCATTTTCTCCACAAGCGGCCCCGCCACCAACAGAGACCGTGGCGTTTCCGAAGGCCTCGCCACCCGTCCTCCGGCCTCCAGCATCCCTATCCTCCCTCCTCGCAGCTCCTCTTCCATGGATCATCCTCAAATTCGGCTTTTGCGGTACCGCTGGGAAACATAACTCTGGCTCCTTTCAAGAAAGGCTCTTGGCAAACAAAGGATGTAACTGCGGTGGTGAAACATGCCAGGGATGTCAAAGAGCTTGTGGTCACGGTGGAGTTTGATATGGGGTTTGGTGCAGCTCGGATCCAGCAGAGGAGCCCTCCCAGCCAAGAGCGCCTCTCTCCAGCCAATCTGCCGTATATTTTGGTGTACGCTGACGATCAGGCGATTGATGAGCCAAACAGTGTGGCCATGTCACTTCAGAGGTATGGGCCTTTTCCCATAGGGGAGGACACATCCACCTCAGCCTCAGCTTCAAGGATCCGGAGAGAACTTCATCTCCAGATCCAAACCAACGACATCCCAGAGGTCCAGTTCAACACCTTGAAGAACCACGAACTGTGGCAGAACACGTATTTCCCAGCTAAAGCCAAAGCAGCGGTCAAACCGGGAAGGAAGCAGGGCCAGCTGAGCAGCGAGGGCCTGAGCAAGCCCCAAGTGCTGAGCTTTGATGAGAGGACAATGAAGAAGGCCAGGAGGAGACAGTGGAGCGAGCCCAGGGTTTGCTCCCGGCGCTACCTCAGGGTGGACTTTGCTGACATCGGCTGGAGTGAGTGGGTGTTGGCACCAAAGTCTTTTGATGCCTACTACTGCGCTGGGACTTGTGGATTCCCCATACCTAAAGTAAGCCATAGAAAGAGTTACCTTTACCTTGTTTTTCTCAGATTCAGTCATTCAAAGGTTGTTTTACAATCATCGGCTGAGGGGGGAAAGTTTAAAGGGTTTAAAACAAGTATGTACAAGTATCACTTTCTGACATCAGAACTAGTTTGGAAGCCAACCATGATCCAAAATGAAACATATACAAATGTGATGTGAAAATGTGGGCACTCTAGAACTCGTATAATAAGAATGGACTTAAGAGAAGCAAGAATTATCTTGGGTCCAGCAGTTACACCTCTAAAATCAAAAATATTTGCATATCTTAATATTTTTTTTAAATGTAATCTGTCAATCAGTAAAATGTGCAAAAGCAAAGAACGTCATTTCACAAATTTAATTTAAATGTTAACCCACACACTGATTTGAAAACCTTTAAAAGCAGGAACAGCAGGGATTTGCCTTTATATGAAGAGTTAAACACTTCTTGTAAATTTTTTCTCGTATTAATTTGTAATAATTCCCTTTTCCCTGCTAATTACTTCCTCAGGTGTCGCGTCCTTCCAATCACGCCACCATCCAGAGCATCGTCAGAGCCGTGGGAATTGTTCCCGGAGTCCCCGAACCATGCTGCGTTCCGGACAAGATGAGCCCCCTCAGCGTTCTTTTCCTCGACACAAGCAGGAACATGGTGCTGAAGGTTTACCCCGGAATGTCTGTGGATACATGCGCCTGTCGGTAGGGCCGGAGCCGACCGGACCGCTGGAAACTGTGATCAATAAAGATGAGAGAAAGTGAGAAAGACGTAAATGTAGACTCAGCATGTAGCAGGAAGAACCGTGTCAGATGGAGGAACAGTTGTGAAATACACATTGAGGACGAGTAAGAAAGGCTGAAGAACTTTTTTTCTGAGATCTTGGACTTGTTGGGACTCTGCCATGACCAGACTTTGCCTTAAGTTTTTCCTACTTTTCTAACATTTTTTTTTATAAATGTCTGTCTGTACTTGGTCCACTTTCATCTAGTTTCTCTACTCTTAAAAAAATACTTAAGGAAGTGCCCTTAAAGAAACTTGTGTTTATAATTCTCTGTGTTAACTTGCTTGATGGTGATGGGCAGGTAGTTTTCATTGATCCTTAATGAGCCTTTCTGGTCTTTTTTCAGTCTTGCTTTACATTCGGGACAATTCTTTTTGCCAGTTTTGACTTTGAGAAGGACTTGATTTGCTCTGGTGTCAGCTTGTGTCGGACTCAACTGGACCTGGTTCTGGAATCTGCTCAGACTCCTCACAAATGGCCTATGTGAGGAACCTGTACTGACCTTTTAGGTTCAAGTTTGATGAGCTCATTTGTAGACGATCTAGGTTTCAACAGCCCCTGAAATCTCTGGAACGTGTCTGCTGCTTGTCTTATTTGTTGATTTTAAGAACTGGACTTTGATCAAACTGATAAACTGCACACTGAAGGAGAATTTCGGACCCAGAGGCTGCACAGTAAACATGTTTACTTACTGCCAAATAACCAACGATTGCCATGTAAATACTGTAGTTACTAATGCAAACTAAGTGGTACTTACTCATAAGTGGTGTGGCACTCTGAGTGACACATTGAACTGTTTATCCTGCATGAGAAGTCATATCTTCCTTAAGCTATATTTCAATAGTAATTTGTTTCTATCTTGTATATATTGAGTGTATTTTGTAGAACGGTGAGCATTGAAGCATCAGAAGCGTCGTGTAACTCGGCTCTGCTACATCGCAGGGTACAAAACAGTGCGTTGCTGCCACCTGCTGTGCATTTTGTGAACGTTGAAAGGACATTTTACTGTACCTCCTGTGGCTACATACACACATTATTACAATATTGTTACATATACAATATTGTTTACTCAAAATGACATGTACAGTTTGAAATATGTACAGTAATGACAGTAGATTTCCATAGTAACTAAAATATGTATGCATTTACAATGAATAAGTATTTGGCTAAAGTGTCTTTAAATAGTAACATGATGTGTTCTTTAACAGATCATACACATAATGTAAGCTTGGTGTGGAAATAAACTGAATTGTATATACAGTCAATGATACTGGCTAACAGGTTTTATAAAAAAATAATAACAGTATGTGTACATTAAAGACGTATCTTACCATAAATTACTGTATTTCAGACGTATACCTTAGAATATGTTATATTAGATTGCATATATGTTATTTAATGTTATGATATTTTGGTTTACTGATGTATCAAGATATTCTTGATTTTTATTAATTAAATAACACATTTGGACCATGACAGTGTTTGTTTCTCAACAAAGCTTCTCAAATTCAAACACAAGTCTGAAAAACCTTTAGGGAAATCTGATTAGACTGAACTTTTTAATTGGTTGTTGTTGTTTGGTTCTTAACATGAAGATGGTAATGTAATGTAAAACTTAAAGCTGCACTTGTTATTACTTTTATATCAATAATGCATCAGGTGATCATGTGTTATGTGACAGGAGTCACTTGCAGTGACAAACCTTTGGAGAATTATCACAAATTATTGCAGTTCCATTCATCTCTGTGGAGCATTTTAGCAACTTTTTCCAATTGTTTTGCTTTTATGGCCCACGGCTTTAATGTTTTGATCACTCTCATCAAGCTTGTTGCCATTATAAACTAAGTTTACACGATTTTCCCAGCAGCTGAGAAACAAAAATTACCAACTAACCAGTGAACATAGTGGGAAAAAAGCTGCTAAAGAGCAGATCAGTAGGGTGCACACCAAAACAGATCTACAGTATCACAGCTCCACATTCATGCTCATACTGTTGATTGTCTGCTATATAAAAAAGAAAGTGTTTGCCAAGATGGCAATATCTTTATGCCAACATCAACTTTATAAGGTGATAATATGTCAATATTATTTGTACAATTCGTTTTCCTGCCCTTAAGAGTGAGCACATTGTTTTAAATGTGCTCTATAAATAAAGTTTGAGTTGAGAGTTGAGTTGAACAATATACTCGCTAATGGGTAACTTTAAATGTTCCCAGGCTTCCAAATATTGTTTGTAAGTGTTTTGGACCCTGATTTAAAAAAAAAAAAAAAGGACAATCTGGAACACATGAATATTTCTTTATTTCTTGACTTGAAAACAAAAAACTTGGGAAAAGATATTGGCACAGTGCTAGTGTCACTAATCAGATGCATAGATGGCCAAAACCAAACCTAATTAAATAAGTTTTACCACATATTTCTCAGCCCAGTAATCAGATGACCACAGTTTCACAGCAGATCTCAGCCCTTCCTTCTGTGTTTGTTTTCCTCCTTCATGCCTACATTATTTGCTGTATCCATGCCAGTGCATTTTGTCGTCGCCTTTCATCGCTGACGGACTCCATAGAGAGGAATGTTTAAAAGCCTGAAAAGGCCACAATGAAAGCATTTTTATAAAACCCAGCGTGAACCAAGTACTGAGTGACTGCATGAGTGAAAGACAGAAATTCCAAGATAGGCTGTACTCAGGCCAACGCCCCCAGATACACTGTGGTTGTGACTCAAACAGGAACACATGCTCGAGTCCTGTTATCTGACCGTCCATCTAGGACCATTATGTCTTCCACCTTTCAGTGGCGCGAAATACTATGCTTTCAGATTTTATAGAGTCAAACTTGTACCAGTTAATGAACACTTTTTCATGAGCTGTTGTCAGGAAAACAGTTCTTCAGTTTTCACTTCGCTTGGGAGCTACTTTAAGTCACATTGACTGTATTTAGCTGCTTGGTGAGCTTACACTAGGTAAACAGAAGCATCCTGTAACTACAGATTCAAATACAGAACATCATCTCTGGTTCTCAGCCCCAGTGGCAACCACTCACATCACAGCAGAAAAACATTCTTTGGTAATTTCCACAGCATTTATGCCTTCAAAACCCTCAGTGCCACTTTACTAAACACCTGCTACAATGCCAATGTTGCTACAAATCTCAGATTTCAGAAGACGTCCGTCACAAACCCTGCAGCTTCATCTGCATGTTGATATTTGACCAAGCCAATGTCTTTTTGTCTGGTTTTGATATGAGGCAACACTTTCACCCTCAAGCTGGGAAAAGGGATTTTATGAAAATGTCTGCTTGTCAGTAACCTCAGTTTCCAGCACCTCCCTCATTACCGCCGTCAAGTGTTTACAGTGTCTTCATTAGCAGCCAGCCCTCTAATGATAACAAAGCTTTAAAGAAGGCATAAACGGCAGTGATAAGCATGGCCAAGCTACTATTTTGGTTGACACAAGTCCCCCTGTTTACTCTGGGAGCATGGGAGCGGACACCAGGACTGTGATCCCGGCATTGGGGATCTCCATTTTCAAACTGTGCCACCGCAAAAGTCTGCTTTCAAACAGGGAAGAAGGTAAAGTTTTTGCCAGCTGAGTGGCTCAGAAAAACCTTGTACAAAATGCAGATCTCCAGAACCTTCCTGTTCAGGGTGTGTTTGAGTTTGGTGGTTTCGACCGGCTCCTGCACCTGCAAGCCTCTCACCAATGACATCCAAAGCGAGGACCTGGAGGGATTCTACTCTCAGCTGACAGAGGACTTTCTGGAGGAGGAAGATGCAGACTCGAGGATGGAGAACCTCCTGGGAACCATGAAGGAGGGTTTTCTGAGGCAACTCAACCTGTCAGATGTTCCTCAGGAGCACAGCAAGATCTTCCCCCCTCAGTTCATGATGGAGTTGTACAACAAATACGCCTCGAACAGCTTGGCAGTACCTCAGTCTGATGTCATACGAAGCTTCACTGTCCAAGGTACAAAAACAGTGTTGAACTGATAGAAATACGTTCTGAAATAATCTGTGTAGCTGATGGTAGGAAGGCATTGTCAGGTAATGAAGATAACCATTTTACCTTAATGATCCTTGTAGTGGAAGAATCAGATCTCATATTTGGAACTCCCTAAGGGCCAAATGGATAGTTTAGTTTATCGTATTCATCTCGCTGGTTGCTATCCATGTTTCTTTTAATGGAGGTTTTCCTTAATAGCAGCTGCAGACAACTAGCTGGAAACGTAGCCCTGGTGCTTTCACTAGGAGTAAAACTCACATCTGACAAAGATCCAAGTGCGAATGAAACAAGGTCAGTCAATATATAATTTTGTGTTATGGTGTACGTGTTCAGGTGGTCACTATTTTTCCTTCGAAAACCAGCATTACCATGTTCTTGGCATCCTTCTTTAATCAAAATGTACAATTAGGGTGATTGCAAATTTACCATTTTATAAAGCTCTAAACCAACTAAAGGTTTCCCAACCTTTACAGCTTCCAATGTTTTTAAAAAGAAGCAATGTCTCCTCATCTCTGGGATCAAAAGTAACTTTTTTCTCACAAGCCTAAAGATATAAAATTGTCAAGTAATTTTGTGTAACAGAATTATGTGCCTGTGGGTTCTTTTCCTGTTGATCACAAATGCTGGGCACTCAGATCCTGGTTAGGAACCGCTGCACAAAGTACCCCAGAGCTCTTCTTTCATTGACAATGCAGTAATTCATTGTCGCATGATAGCCTAATTACTACTTACAAATGATGAAAGGGAAAAGAAACCGCACTTGGTCGACTGCCTGTGTGGCCTTTGGAACGACTATTTTTAGTATCTGCCCACACAGATATTAAACAGATCTGGAACCACATCCCCTGGGTAAGAGGAATGTTAGGGGTATTATCTTAGCAGCAACCTTAATAAAACTTAAATTTCGTCTTTACGCTTTTGGCCCAATACATCCATACCCCATGTCAGACCGTGAAAACCATAGCTGGTGTTTCAGATATGTAATCTGACCTATTCTCATCTCTCCCACAGATATCAGTCTCTCTGTGACAGATGGCACAAAGACCAAACACAGGCTGCAGTTCAATGTCAGCATCCCCAGCCATGAAAAGATCACCACTGCTGAACTGCAGCTCCTCTTCTTCCCGGATGCCAGGTCGAAGGTCACCTCCCACAGTTTCAAGGCCATCGTCAAAGTCTATGAGCCCGATTACAACAATTTCACATCGCAACTGCTGGTCGGCAAAGTGGTGACAGGCTCAGAGAGCACATGGGAGACATTTGACGTGAGCACAGCGATTCAGAGGTGGATCAAGTTGGGACAGGCAGCAACAGTCTTTGATATAGTGGTGGATAAGAAGCACTGCGGGGCTTCTGATAGTGGAGCGGAAGGAACCAGCTGTTTAAATATGAGCGTGTCTGTTGGAGATAATAGCTCAGCGGCTTTAATAGTCTTCTCAGATGACCTCGGTAGCAGGAGGAGGGAGGCGAAGAAAGAACTAAGAGAGATGATCCTTCACGAAGAAGACACCATCCTGCACTCGGGCGCCGACTGGAACAGAGGAAATCAACTTCCAAACGGGATCCCGGAGGCTCAGCACCCACGGAGAAAGAAAAGAAAGGCGGAGAGGGAATACTGCCGGAAAACCTCGCTCAAGGTCAACTTTAAAGACATCGGCTGGGACAGCTGGATCGTGGCGCCTCCAGAATATGACGCTTTTGAATGTCGAGGAATGTGTTACCACCCGCTGACGGACGAATCAACCCCGTCGAAGCACGCCCTCATCCAGACGCTGATGAACATCAAGGACCCAAGAAAGGCCAACATGGCATGCTGCGTCCCCATCAAACTGGACCCCATCACAGTCATGTATCAGGAGAATGGACGACTCACCATAAGATACCTTTATGAGGAGATGAAGGTGGCAGAGTGTGGCTGCAGGTAGTCAGAGAGGGCAGGTTTGTCCTGCTGGTGGCGGTGAACATACACTCTAAATAGAGGTGTTGTGGTACACCAGCACTGACAATAACCATGGTATTTAAAACAAAAAGAAAGAAATATTGATATAATGCTAATATATCAAATGATAATGTAAATAATCAGGCATCAGTTACTGTCTTGTTGGCAATCCAACACAGGAATAACGTTACAGACTCTCTCCATTCTCCTACGTTCTGATTTTGAGTGTATTTCATTCGCCAAACAAGAGACAAAACACAATAAACAAAGTTGAAGAGGAATTTGGTGATTTCTTGTTGTTATTGTTGTTGAATAGTATTGTTATTGTGAATTATTTTGGCCACAATAATCATGATGGGAAAATCTGAAGTTCATTCAGTTTGGTCCAATGTTCACAGGTGACGGATCACAAAGTACCCTCCATTTCCTCCACTGACCCAAGAAGAAACATGGAAATCATGTAATGTAGAAACCTAAACTCTGTTTTGTATGTCTGTTTAATATATTATACAGCAATATCTCCATCTGCTTTACTTTACATTTATAAGCTACAATTGAATGATTACCTAATGTTCATTTGGTGTTCTGAGCATATTTTTTTTTAAATGCCAATTATTATTTCTAAAAGAAAACAATTTTTTTTGGTGTTTCAGTGTGTTCCTCAACAATACAACCAGAAAAAAACGTAGCATCTAATGTTGTTTCCAAGTTTAGCAGGCTTAGTGGGATGTATCTAACAGGCTAACAAACAATCTAATGAGTTTGCTAGATTTCACTTCTAATGTCACGACAGGAAACACTGTAAAGTAATCTTATCAATAAAGGTGTTCATTATTAGCATTAAGGTCTCATAAATAATTGATGAAAATTGACAGTGGGAATTATTTTTAGTTAAATTTTCAGGACATGTGATTGGTAGAATGGTAAGAGCATCAGAGTTGCATGACAGTTTATTGGCCAAATAAAATAAAATAAAAAAGTAGCAGAGCCACAGGATTAAAAAAAAAATAATTACCCATAGACTGAATATAAAGTCTGAATTTGAAGCCAATGTAGAAGAGTCTTAAACCTGCATTCTTTATAACAACCAGTAGGGGGCAACTCTTCTAATTCCAGAAAGAAGTCTGAGTGTATAGAATTGTATAAGAAAAACATCTTATTCTCACCTAATTTGTGACTCAGTAAACATTTTTCTACTGAGGTCTAAATCACTAATTTTAAGTCTCCTTCAATAAAACATGATGTTCATTTTTTAAATTATGGTCCCACTTAAAAAAAAATGGACAATAAAGCAGGGTATGTCATAGGGCGTGACCTTATGATTTGACAATTTGCTACCGCACCATAAAGCGTAATGTCCTTGGGTTCTCAATCAGATCCACCCTTCACTTGTCACTTTTGGTTTCACGAGACCGAGATGACAATGGCCAAATTTCAGTCATATGTACAATTATAACGTCATATTTACAGATGATGATAATTTTGGGTTCACGTCGGATGGTTTGCAAGCCAACATTTCTTTGGGTTTTAATTAAACATCAACATACCTGTGGCCTTGTTAAAATATTTTTTTGCATTTCACATGTTGACGCAAGTAAGTAGGAAACCAAAGGAAACAGATATGTTTTTATATTTAATTCTTGTTATTTGTATATAAAATGCTTTCCTTTTAGGTGTCTTGGATTTATGTGTTTCAGTAATAAGATTGTATTTCTTTTTTGATGTAGTACATACTGTAAAAAAACAAAACAAAACAAAACAAAAAAAACAAGAAGAGCAAGAGCATGTAAAAAGTAAAGTTAAATAAATAAATAAAAATAAGATTTTTAAACGACCATAAAGGGTGTTGGTTATTACATATTTTCAGTTACTACTACAAAGACGTTTTATTTTTGGTAAATGTTTAAGAGGATTAAATGGTAATGATAAGCTGGTCAGACACATAAAATGACATGTAGTCACTGCTCATCTGCTAACATAACGCTTATGTAAATGTGTATATTACTATTGTACGTGTACTTTGTTTCTATTCACATATATCTATATGTACTCTGTAAATTAGTGCCAAACTCCTACATGGATAAGTCTGTATCTGTTACTTCTGACAAAAGTCATCCAGACCATGATGGAAAAATTATGTACAATAAAATATGTTTTCCTCTGTGCACAGGTTTTTACTGTATGTCTCATGATGTCTACATTTTCCTCCAACCCTGAAATAAATAAAGTTCTTGGGGAAAATTGTGTCCCAAATCAAAATTTTAATTTGAATCACTCATTCTTGTACCTGTATTATCATGTTTGTTGAAAGATTCCCGTTTAGGTGAGACTGAGAAGGTAAAATGGCTTTTTTTAATAATAAAAAAACATGACTTTTGGAGCTTCTCTGTGGCCTTAAAATTTGTATTAAATAGTGTTAAATAGTGTGCACATCCATGACTTATACACATAGATATTGGCCTGATTGCAGCTCTTTTCAGCATTGTGCAAACTGTAACTATTCTGTTACAACAGTTTTTCACATTGTATAATTCTGCAACTGATTTGATTTTTATTGACTGTTGTACAGTTCAATGTAGTTATATAAAATGGTTGTATTTGTGTTCAAGTGTGTTATTTAAAAGAAAGAAAAAAAAATCCACACACCATTAGAAAATCAATCAGAGTGTCAAAGATACATTAAAAATGTCTTTGTGGTTAAATCCCTCAGAGGCCAATAATGCATAAAGGTAAGAAAAACCCTTTAAAAATAATATTCTAATTAAATGATTTTGGTCAAACAAAGCCCGTTCACACACACTCAGTTGTCCATCATAGAGTGATGCACACTGTCAGCTATGTAAATATTTGAAGTCAGTGACACAGTCTTATCTGAGCTGAGCCCTCAGTGTCAAGACCAGTGAGGGGACAAGTTTGTGCAAACACTTGCTCATCCTGTGTGGCAGCACTAAATTGCTTCTGTCTTAAAATAACACCAATATGGAGGCCAGAAATCCCATTTTAAAGCCCTCAGAACCAAGAACATTTGGCCACAAGTAGCGGTTTGTGACAGTAGAGCTGGTTAGAATGGCTGCTCCAATTGTTATTCTCATTATTATTATTATTATTATTTATTACCTTGAAATGTTGATGAGAACACCTTTGACAGGCATAACTGAAACTCCTTCAACACTATGGTGTCTGTGATGTTGGACTCACTGAGATCACGACTGTGTCACCGTTTTTGTGTCACAACTTAAATTCTTTACTCAAAATGAATCGAGAATTTCAGCATGTTAACATTTCAAGGATTTTAGAACTTGCGAAAAATTCTAATGTTACCTGTTCTCATGTTTGAAACACGTGGAGGAGAAAATATGACAGAGTTCACTGTTTCAAAGGTCTTGATTAGCACCCTGGGAATTGGCAGAGAGAGGATGCCATTATGTAAGAGGCGAGGCCGTATTAAAAGTTAAGAGGCTAAGATTAGCTGAACACCGTCTAGCATTTTGAAAAGGAGGCGACGTCTGGCTGCGTTAGCTCTGAGCTGCAAAATGGTCTGGATCAGGGTTTCACTGGGTCCTGGGGTAAAGTCTGTTTTTATGTCAAGTTCAGGGTTTCAGGTTCAGACACAGAGTTTGAATTAAAGGACGGGATGTACACTTGTCAACTTCGCATTTGTAGTTATGTGTTATTCACAAGGACAGTTTAGCTGTTACCTTTGCAACAATTAAAATATTTTTTGATTTAAAGATTTAAAGAAAGAAACAAGCAGCTACGCAACAATCAATCCACATAGGAATTTTCCACTCAGTCTTTTGTTCTTCTATATATATGTGTGTGTGTGTGTGTGCATTTTTTTTTACCCAATTCTGATCCTGCATGTGTTTTAAGAAGGCTTTGCCACGTGTCCACAAACTGTGTAATCATGTCACCAGTGGAGCGACCCAGACATGACCTCTAAAGCTACCAACAGCACCAAAATACACCAGCATAAGCTTTCATAACACACAAGGGAGAGAGAGTGACGGGGAAGGAGGAGTGTGAGGTTTCACACCAGTCGGTCCACTCTAATTTCTCACCTGTCCAACACCAGGTTTTGCATCTGAAAGAAAAACTGAGATGGTATATTATAAGAGATGATGAAATCGGACTGATAAAGGCTGTAGTTCAAGCCCAAATAAAACTGCCCTGGAATTTGAACAGTAACTGTGTTACTTAGATTCAGTCGTTTTGACGAAATACAAAGCAGCTTTCTATGTAAAATGAAGGTACTAGAGTCCAAACAGGCATGCAAAATGAAAGAAACCGCACCTCCCATTTACCAATTTTTATTCTATCTGCTATTGTGTGCTGGCGGAAGCACAACAGATAATGCGATTAAAGGTTTATTGGGGACTAAAGCCTCTTATGTTGATGTTGCTGTCCAAAAAACCTTTGACAATGACATGTTCCCTCCCACGAAGACCACCATCTCTGGACACAGACAAAAGAACGAACACAGACCAGTGAAAGAGAAGACAGAGCGGTTCTGTTCCCATCGGTGCTGATGAAGACATTAGTGATGGCGCAACACACACCACCACTGCTTTTGATGCTTCTCCTGTGTACTCTATCTGCTAGCACTTCATTTCAGCCAGCTCTGGTATTAGACATGGCCAAGATTCTTCTGGAAAACTATTGCTTCCCTGAGAACCTGGTTGGGATGCAGGAGGCCATTCAACAAGCCATCAACAGTGGAGAAATCCTACAGATTTCAGACAAAAAGACCCTGGCATCTGTGCTCACAGTGGGAGTTCAAGGAGCACTGAACGATCCGCGGTTGACTGTCTCGTACGAGCCAAATTTTGTTCCAGTGATGCCACCAATGCTGCCATCTCTCCCAAAAGAGCAACTGATCCGACTGGTGAGAAACTCCATCAAGATGGATATCCTAGAAGACAATGTTGGCTATCTGCGGATTGATCGGATTATTGGGGAGGAGACAGCAGCCAAGCTTGGCTCTCTGCTGCGGGACAACATCTGGGACAAAGTTGCTCACACATCCTCACTAATATTTGACCTGAGGTACAGCACAGCTGGAGAGCTGTCTGGAGTTCCTTTCATAATCTCCTTTTTCTCAGATCCTGAGCCCTTAATTCACATTGACACTGTGTACGACAGGCCCTCGAATAAAACCAGAGAGCTGTGGACTATGCCAATAATGGAGGAAAGGTATGGAAAGAAGAAGGATATAATTATTTTGACCAGTAAGCGCACCGTGGGGGCTGCTGAGGCTGTGGCATATACACTAAAAAACCTAAAGAGGGCCATCACGGTCGGAGAAAGGTCTGCTGGTGGATCAGTGAAAGTCCAAAAGATTAGGATTGCTAAATCAGAGTTCTATATAACAGTTCCTGTGGCGAGATCTGTCAGTCCAATCACAGGCCAAAGCTGGGAGGTCAGTGGTGTTTCCCCAACAGTCAACACCATTGCCAAGGACGCTATTGCGAAAGCCAAATCCCTGCTGGCTATCAGGAGAGCCATTCCAAACGTGGTGCAAAGTATCTCCGACATAATTGGGAGGTTGTACGCATTCACTGACAGAGTTCCAGCTCTTCTTCAACGTCTGCAATCTACAGATTTGTTCTCTGTTGTATCTGAAGAGGACCTAGCAGTCCGACTTAACCAGGACCTCCAGATTGTGTCTGAAGATCCAAGGCTGATCATCAGATTCATACAGGACAATACTGCAATTGAAGAGGAGGACCCTGACCTTTATAAAGTTCCAGACGATCCCAGATTATTACAGGACTACATTGATAAAGTGTTTAAAGTGGAAATTCTCACTGAAAATACTGGTTATCTCCGCTTTGACAAGTTTGTTGAATCATCTGCAGTGGCTAAGCTGGAAGAGCTCATGGCCAAAAAGGTATGGGAACCCCTCAAAGACACTGATAACCTGATTATTGATCTACGCCACAACACTGGCGGATCCTCTACCTCTCTAGCCCTGATATTGTCTTATCTGCAGGACACTTCCCAGAAGCATCACTTTTTTACATTATATGACAGAATTCAGAACACAACAACAGAACATGACTCTCTGCCCAAAATTACAGGCCCGACGTATGGCTCCAAGCGTGGGGTTTATGTGTTAACAAGCTACTACACGGCAAGCGTTGGTGAAGAGTTTGCTTACTTGATGCAGTCCTTACATCGTGGCACAGTCATTGGGGAAATCACGTCTGGCACCCTGATGCACTCAAAGACATTTCAAATAGAAGGGACAGATATTGCCATCACTGTACCGTTCATAAACTTTATAGACAACAATGGAGAGTTCTGGCTGGGAGGTGGCGTGGTCCCTGAGGCCATTGTGCTGGCTGAGGAAGCTGTGGACCATGTTCATGAGATTGCAAAATTTCACAAAGGACTTCGATCCCTCATAGAAGGTGCAGGGCAACTGTTAGAAAAACACTACGCAATCCATGAAGTGGCACTACAGGCTAGCAAGGTGCTGTTAGGTAAATGGGCTGATGGATTATACAGGTCAGTGGTTGACTTTGAATCTTTGGCATCTCAGTTGACAGCAGATCTCCAAGAGACTTCAGGTGACCATCGCCTCCATGTCTTCCATTGCGATGTTGAGCCTGAGTCACTTCATGAGGTTCCAAAGATCCCTACAGCAGAAGAAGTGGGATATATAATCGATGCTCTGTTTAAAATTGAGCTTTTGCCAGACAACGTTGGCTATCTAAGGTTTGACATGATGGCAGACATAGAAGTTGTCAGAGCCATCGGGCCTCAACTCCTAAAATTGGTTTGGAGCAAGATAGTAAACACTGATGCCCTTATAATTGATATGAGGTACAACAGTGGTGGTTATTCAACAGCAATTCCCCTCTTGTGCACATATTTCTTTGATGCTGAACCTTTGATTCACCTTTACACTGTTTTTGACCGCACAACAGCCACCATGACAGAAGTCATGACTTTTCCTAATGTCAGGGGTCAAAGATACGGATCCTCCAAGGACCTCTTCATCCTCACCAGTCATATGACCGGGTCGGCAGCCGAGGTGTTCACTCGTGCTATGAAGGACTTGAACCGGGCCACAGTGGTCGGAGAGCCAACAATCGGAGGGTCTTTATCAAGTGGAACCTATCAGATTGGGGACAGCGTCCTGTACGCTTCCATCCCTAACCAGGTCGTTCTAAGTGCCATCACTGGGAAAGTGTGGAGCTTTTCAGGGGTTGAGCCTCATGTTTTTGCTCAGGCAAATGAAGCTCTCCCTGTAGCACAGAGAATCATAGCAGCAAGGCTTTTGAAGACAGAGCAGGGGAACTAATGTTGTATTCCAATGTCCTTCTCTACAAAAAGATGTATTTTTCTTGTCTTTAGGCAGCACTTCAGTGTCCAAGTTTGTGGCATGTGTGGCCTTGTCGTCAGCTTTTGTCGGTGTATCTTTCATTTAAAAACAGTGTTTTCCACTAGTTCCGACCATCACTTTCCATCTGTGCTGCAGTCATCATGCACTGAATTCACTACTGCAGCAGCATTTTTCATGGTGTGTTATCCAAACTCCTAAATAAGCTCCAGTACATGCAGAACTGCTGCTCGCCTGCTCACCCACTCCCGCTCCCATGACCACATCACTCCTACCCTCCAGAAGCTTCTCTGGCTTACTGTCCCACAACAGATTCATTGCAGTCCCTCTCATCACTCACAAAGTTCTCCTATAATCAGGCTCCCGCCTTCCTCACTGAACAACGCCGTCATCACAGTCCTTCCCACAGCCTCCGTGGCTCTGATGCCAAACTCCTGTCCACACCACTTAGGACCAAACACAGGACTTGTGGTAATAGAGAATTCTCCATTTTTGCCTCCTCGTGCTGGAACTGGAAACTGCACTGATTTGTCCATGTTCAAATTACTGCTCAGTTTTTTTTTCAGTACTCATTCAGATTTTAAGGTTTAATTTATGTCATGTTTTGTGATTTTATTTTATTGCATGACTTTTTTTTTTAATTCATGCAAAACGTGTTTTAGAACCCTGAAAAGCACTCTGTTTAAAAGATGAATTATTATGATTATTAATAACATTTTCTGTTTAGGAAATAAGGTCACCTTGTATTACAGTGCTGTCATCACATCATCATGTTTCTGTTTTTGGTTTAGATGTTTAGTGTCTCATGGAAGAAATTCACATTTACAGAAAGACTCCAGCGCAGATGGTTTAAATGCATGTGTCATTCAAGAAGGAAAAGTATTGGCTGTAGATTCTAACCTTACATATACTTTGCCACTACTGGCATTATTATTATTGATTACCCTTTTGCATTACAATAGCCCATTTTCCATATGTACGCTAAGTTTTGTGAATAAAACAACTACTGATCAATAATAATGCACCAAAAAGGTTTCATTTAGTAAATTACATTGCACTTTAAACTTTCTCTTTTAAGTTTTTTCTCTCTTGTGTTGCTATTTTCTGCTTGATTTCCCTTTGATCATATATAAATCACATGTATTAAATGTGAATATCCTGTTGGTCCTGTCATGTGCTATCCTTGATATTTTTTGAGTCACTATTTCCTTATTTGCTTTGTATCTTTGTTCAGTCTGCTGTAATGATGTTTAAGCTTTTCTTTTCTATAACCACCAAACTCACCAGCAGAGGGAGCAAGTACCACACAAACCTAAACCTGCCCTCCCTGTTCTCTTCCCAACTGAGCTCAACTACTGCTATTGATTGTGTACCATTCATGAAACAATAAAGAATTCAGTGGTTCTGAATTATTGACAGGAATATTACTCTTTGACCATAAAGAAATCACACAGCGTAGCACATATAAGCTTCTTCTGACTGAAGATGAGGTTTTTATCATTTTTGTCAGTTTCATCTTGAGAACTGGTATAAAATTCAATGAACACACCAGCTGCATTCATTTACATACTGATATTAAGGGTCTTTGTGATGTATCCTGGTAGAGGGGATTTTTTCACCACTTTTAATCCCTTTCCTAACATTTGTCTGTTACAAAACTGTCTGATTTGACACAGGTAGCTTTAAATAGGTGTTAAGAATAGACTGAGTAAATTTAGGACCAGTATCTTTGGCAACATCCTCTTGTTACTACACCCACTTGGCTTGGTTGTTGTTGCCTTACAGAAGCACTTAGGATAATACGATTAGAGGTTTATTGTGGACTAAATCCTCTTATGTGTGTGCTAACAGAAAGCTCACAGCCAAAACAGTGCCATTTGACAAAGAACCTCTTCGGAGAAGGAGGTTCGGCTCAACAACTTCTTCTTCGCACTACTCACCTTTTTCTGGCTACACTGGCAAAAATGGCAAAGTTTCTGTTGTTGGTTGCATCTCTGCTAGTTTTTGGAAATGTTTTGTTTATTCGTGCTGAGTTTTCCCCCAGCCTCATCGTAGATATGGCAAAAATTGTCATGGACAATTATTGCTCACCAGAGAAGCTGGCAGGGATGAAGGAGGCAATTGAAGCTGCCAGCAGCAACACAGAGGTTCTCAACATCCCGGACGCCGAATCCTTGGCTAACGTCCTCAGTGCTGGAGTTCAGGGCACAGTCAGTGATTCACGCCTGAAGGTCTCTTATGAGCCAGACTATGTTCCCGTGGTTCCCCCGAAGATGCCTCCACTGCCCCCTGAGCAGCTCATCGCCGTCCTCCAGACCTCCATCAAGCTTGACATCCTGGAAGGTAACATTGGCTACCTGAGGATTGACCACATCCTTGGGGAGGATGTCGCAGAGAAGGTTGGCCCTTTGCTTCTAGACCTTGTCTGGAATAAAATTCTGCCTACTTCAGCTCTGATCTTTGACTTGCGCTACACTGGCAGCGGGGACATCACTGGAATCCCCTATATTGTGTCTTACTTCATTGAAGCCGAGCCTCAAATTCACATTGACAGCGTTTATGACCGTCCCTCAAACACCACCACTAAGCTGTTGTCTATGCCGTCACTGCTAGGAGAGAGATACGGCATCGCCAAACCACTTGTTATCCTCACTAGCAAGAACACCAAGGGCATTGCAGAAGATGTTGCCTACAGCCTCCAGAACCTCAAAAGGGCCACCATTGTGGGTGAGAAGACTGCCGGGGGTTCAGTGAAACTTGATAAAATCAAAGTAGGTGACACTGACTTTTATGTTACTGTGCCAACTGCAAAGTCCATCAATCCCATCACCGGCTCCACCTGGGAGGTCACAGGTGTGACTCCAGATGTGGACGTCAATGCAGAGGATGCTCTTGCTACCGCCATCAAGATTGTCAACTTCCGTGCCCAAGTTCCAGCCATCATTGAGGAATCAGCAACTCTGATAGCTGACAACTACGCCTTTGAAAGTATCGGAGCAGATGTTGCAGCAAAGTTGAAGGAGCACCTGGCAGCTGGCGAGTACAGCATGGTTGTCTCCAAGGACAGTCTGGAGGCAAAGCTATCCAGCGACCTTAAGACCCTTTCTGGGGACAGGAGCCTTAAGACTACCAGCAACACACCAGCCCTGCCCCCTATGGTAAGACCCATGTGCATAAAAATATAGTTTTTTTGGTTTCAAAAGTAAACACAGCTTTTTTTTCATTGGTTTCTAACATTATTGTTAAGGAAAATGATCCAATGTTTAAAACTTGCAATACTAACAGCTAATGTGTCAAAATGTTTTTTGTACTTTTATTTATTTATTTTTTGAGTAGGACTATGGACCATGCTTGTAAGAATAATATTGAGTTGGTGTTTGTTCTTCTCCGTAGGATTATTCTCCAGAGATGTACATTCAGCTGATCAAAGTCTCCTTCCACACTGACATATTCGAAAACAACATCGGCTACCTGCGTTTTGACATGTTCGGAGACTTTGAGGAGGTCAAAGCCATTGCCCAGATTATTGTTGAGCATGTCTGGAACAAAGTTGTCAACACTGACGCTATGATCGTCGACCTCAGGTAGGTAATCCTGCTCACAGTGCAAGTCGGGGCTTCTATTCAAAACTCTGTGTGTCCATTTTGGTGGACAAATCATCCACCAAAGCTGCTAAAGCTCATCAGTCCATGTCTAAATATAGACGACTTAGTTGGTAAAAGGGTAGTATTGTTTACATGAAGATTTTTTTATTCATGTATTGTCAATAATGCACTTTTGAATACACCTATGAAATTACTCAAAACGCCATATGTTAATGTACCCAATCCCAAGGACAGTTAACTTGGGATGACCTTCATCAGTACTACAGGAATAAAAAGTTAACCAAGAATCATTCACTCTCATCAAAAACCATGCCTCTCTATGATTATCTTTGCAGGAACAACCTTGGTGGCCCAACAACAGCCATCGCAGGCTTCTGCTCCTACTTCTTTGATGCCGACAAGCAGATTGTGTTGGACAAACTCTACGACAGACCATCTGGCACCATTACAGAGCTCCAAACTCTACCTGAGCTAACTGGTAATATAAATAAATCAGCTGTATGCAATAGATTTCTGATAGCAAGAATGTTGGCAGCCACCTGGTGAACACAGTGGCACATGTATTAGCGATTAACAGGTATTTCAATAAGAATTTGGCAAGGACCAAAAACAGAGTTAAAAGAAGACGGTCATTGGGTGACTGGAAACATGACACTGAACGAACTTTGCAGAATCAAGAACGTGAAAACATAGATGCATCTGTGTATTTTAAGATGAAATGGCCCTGTGCTGTAAAGTATAAAGCTGTCTGGATGTAATGTCCTTCTTTTTGAGTTTCTATTCAGGGCACCTTTGTTTAGAAACTAAGATTTATTTCCACTCTTTTCGGTTTCTTTGTTTAGGAATTATACCTCAGCTGTACCCTCAACCCTTTCCTTACATAATTCAGCATTCCTGTCTTCTCCTGCTCAGACTCAACCCTTCTAACTATCCACAAATCATCACTCTGTCTTGTTTGACATTTTTAACCTTATTCTACCTCCTTCTCATCATCTTCTTCAGGCACAAGGTACGGCTCCAAGAAAAGCCTCATCATCCTGACTAGCGGAGCGACAGCTGGTGCTGCAGAGGAGTTTGTTTATATCATGAAGAAGCTTGGCCGTGCCATGATTGTTGGAGAGACCACCTCTGGGGGATCCCACCCACCCAAGACCTTCCCTGTTGGTGACACTGACATCTTCCTCAGCATCCCCACTGTCCACTCTGACACCACCGCCGGGCCGGCCTGGGAGGGAGCTGGCATCGCTCCTCACATCCCCGTCCCAGCCGACGCTGCCCTCGAAACCGCCAAGGGCATCTTCAACAAGCATTTTGCTGGCCAGAAGTAATCCTGAACAAAGCCGGTGGAGGGGATTCGACAGTCACATTTGCTTTGGCAGCCAAATGGTTTCAAAATTTTTAATCTTGGCTTGATTGAGAAGAGAAGAGTGTAGACTAAGAACAAAGTGTAATCTGCTATTCATGCTTTCAATACCTAAGCCTTCTTAGTCTGTTTGTAATGTAGAGCAAAGGTCCAACAGGATTTTCTGTAGTTTTCATTTCTGTCTAGTGTTACTCTGTTGAAGGTTTTGAGAATGAATGAATTCTTTTGAGAAGTATGATCAAGTCTGTGTCAAACATAAGCTGCAACATAATGCAGCTTACAAAAAAATTACATTTTTGAGAAGTCACGAGCAAAAGAGCAGAAAAAAACAAGCAAACAGTTGCAAATATGCTTTCAAACTAAGTTTGCTCTTCATTTGTTATGTTGGATAGTTAGAATTGGGAAGTAATCAATTGTTACATGAACTGTGATCTCCTCTTTGAGGATGGAAAATGCTGTATGTCTATTAAACTTCATACCATTTGGACCTACTTGGGTTGTATCAATTCCAGTGGTAAGACGAAATAAATAAAAAAAATGAAATACACAACTGAGCGTGTTGGTCTCCTGTCTTACAACAACACAGAAGGTATCACATGACATTGAATTGTTTTTACCATTACAAAAGCCCTTGAATTCATCAGTGGAGTTTAGTTTGTCTAACGTGCAAAACTTGGCCTCTGAAAAAGATAGTAGTAACAGCTACATCACCTGTTACTACTGTCTAACAGCTGAAAAATGAGCAGAGCATTTTTTTCTTCATGTTCAGATAAATTAGAGCATCAGTTCCCTAACAAAGGAATAAAAACTGAACTTCTACATCTGTAGAACAATAAACATCTGCTTGAAGGGATGTTGTGCAGCTTTTCAAATCTTGTTTTTTTGTCAGTGACAGTGCAATTGTGAAGATTGTTCTGTGTTTAGGGGCAATTATGAGAAGGACTACAGGAGCTTGTTGGTCTTGGATGGCTGACAGTTGCGGTGGTTTCAGTGGTTTAGTGTACTGAGTTACAGCACATTGTTCATCAGAGCAGAAAACAGACTGAATAATTTTGTTCACATTCAGGGACGTGCTACTTGATTTTGGTATAAACTACTTTGAATGAAGAAAAACAAAATAAACAGATGCATACAAAACCTATTTTACTGTTATACATGCACACTGGATGCCAAGGAAAGCCTTTAAGTATTGTAAAACTGGCTTTCAAGTTAGAAGTTTTCAATTCTTATTTTGAGTTGGACCTCTCTGTCAACCAGTTCGACTGTATTTGAGTGAATAAGTGGATAGAAGAGTATAAGGCCGAGGTTCTGGGAAGCAGTGGACCTTCAATTGTGAAAAGATCAAAAGGGATCAGTTAAGCGGCAGATAAGTCGGTACATCAACATGTCTCAAATCTGGGGCCAAAGGGTTAATGGGAATAGTGGGTGGTGGGAGTCAATCCTTCTTTACAGGATTGACTATGTGAAGATGTGAGGCTGCTACTTCTTTTCAGGAATCTGTTTGTCTGCCTGGTCAGTGTACAAGTGACAGTATGGCAGATTAGAGATCAGACAGGGACTGGCTCTGGAAACTTAAGTAGGTGGAGACGACGAACTGGGAATTCTTTTTGTCTGGCAATCATTACAAGAAGAATGCTAACAGCTTGCAGGCATTAAAAAACAGTAAATCCCACGGAAATGGTTGACTTTGTTCAACATCTTCAAACAAGGAAATATTTGATTCTCTTGACGGGAAATTGGCATTTTGTCGTCATTCTCATAATTCAAATAAATGAAACAATGAGTCGCATGGAAAAAGTAAGGATACTATTACATTTAGCACTCCTTCAAATCCATCAAATCAGACTCACAGGTTCCAGATTAGGTGCCAAATATTAGAACCTCCTTTGGGGATGATATGTTGAACATGTCCAACTAAAAACTCAGATATTAGGGGTTTTCGGATCTCCTTTTATTGAGGTGTGTGGTGTCATCATACCAATCTATACACAGCCAGCTGTCTGAGGCCTTCACATAAAAGGTTGTGAAGCCACTGTACTGACAATGACTTAGAAATGGAGACAGTTCTAAACAATTACTAAAAAGATAAAGTCTTGTTTGGAAGACATGTTTTTGATGTTTTTGTGGTAACTTTAATTTGAAATACAATGTATTGTCTGCTTTAAAGTTAATAGGAATGACAAGCAGTGGCAGCATAGGCAATGTATGATTAGCAGGAATGTAATACAGGTCTGATATGGCTGCAGAGAAGTCAGAACAGCCAAGGCTGATATCAACACTATAAAAAACTCTAAGTTTTACAGAATGTTCCTGTTTTATTTCACAGATTGTCTTCTGGATTTTTGAAACTGCAAAATAGAAATCGACACATTACATTTCTAATGTAAAATAACATTTAAAACCTCTTACTATAAGTGATCATAGCATATTTTTAAAAAGAAAAATGCATTCTTTTTATATAACATGACAAAACCTATAATCTCACTTTTTTTTCTTTTTATGTAACAGTTTAAACTATGGCTAGTATAGATGAAACTCACTAATGATTTATGAAATAATTCATTTACAAGCAGTAATGCTGGATTACATGCTGTGTAGGAAGGCAGTGTGACTCTTAAGCAATAATAACAGATTCCACCTCAAATAGTAAAACTATTATACAGACAGATCACTGCTTAATGTAAACGCAGTGACTAGTTACTGCTGAATAATAAATAGTAGCAAAAGAAGAGCTGGACTTTATGAAAAACAATCTCATTATAGACTTTGAAGCGGATATGAATACGTCACAATTAGCTACACAGGAACGTGGACACCCGCCATGTGAGTGGCAGCAAGTTACAGCACCTCCAGTGTTATTAGTGTTTTTAAAAATCATTTTCATGTTCTTTGACATTATTCTTCTGTCCTTGTGTGCAGCTATGGAAATGCAACTGACGATATCAATGATAATTCTTTTGCTGGTTCTTGGACCGCTTTAGTTCATAATGTGATAATGTCTCTTTTTCACTTTTCAAGTGCAACAACATAACATAACATTGTTGCTCTTAATAGCTTTTTAATTCAAGTTCAATTCTACACAGTGTATTTGTACTACAATTTGGGTACAATTAATAATCCATCACACCATGTTGGTAAATGTGACAGCAGTACATAGTCGTTATCTTTATTTTTGTTTTTTCTACTTTTTCTTGTCTTGGTTTTGTTTCATGCTTAATTTTTATGTAGTTGCTGTAATGTGAGAATTTCCAAAGGGAGGAATCGATAAAGTAAATCTTATCTTAACCCAGGTTATACCAGTAATAATGTACATAATCTGCACTCATTAGATTTGCTTGACCTTCCACTTTAAATGTACGTAACCTTTGACTGAAGAGAAGCTGGGCTGTAGGGTAGCGCAGTTGGTAGTACTGTTGCCTCGCAGCAAGAAGGTTGCTGGCTCGCGTCCTGTTGTTCTCCTCGTGCAGCGTGGGTTCTCTCCAGCCAGGTTCTCTGGCTTCCTCCCACAAGGTCCAAAAACATGTTGAGGTTAACTGGTGATTCTAAATCAGGGGTCTCGAACTCCGGTCCTCGAGGGTCGCAATCCTGCAAGTTTTAGATGTTTCTTTCTTCCAACACACCTGATTCAAATGATTAGCTCAGCATCAAGCTCTGCAGAAGCCTGATAACGATCCTGATCATTTGAATCAGGTGTGTTGGAAGAAAGAAACATCTAAAACTTACAGGATTGCGGCCCTCGAGGACCGGAGTTCGAGACCCCTGTTCTAAATTGTCCGTAGGTGTGAATGTGAGTGTGCTTGGTTGTCTGTCTCTACATGTAGCCCTGCAATAAACTGGTGACCTGTCCAGGGTGTCCCCTGCCTTCACCCTAAGTCAGCTGGGACAGACTCCAGCCTCCCGTGACCCTCGTGAGGATTAAGCGGTGTATAGATAATGGATGGATGAAGAAGCTAAAACTAGGCTATCTGTCATCTTTGTTTACTTTTCTACATACATGTTAAAACTATAAAATCATATGGGACCATCTACAGTCGTCCTCAAATGTATTCATACCCTCCCAATAAAGAAGGAAAAAAAACAGCTGTAACTGAAATAAGCTGAAATTGACAAAAGTAATTAGAAATAAAAATTTATTGAAATTCATGACATTGCTTTTGGATTGTGGTTCAACAGAAATATTGAAAAACAAAACAAACAAACAAACAAACAAGCAAACAAGCATGATCGGACCGTAAATTAATATTTTATCAAGTGTTTTCTGTAACTCTCAACCAGACTTCTGGACCTGTTGACAGGTTTTTGGATTTTGGCCCACTGCTCATCAGCAAAGTGCCCTAATTTGTCCGGGACAGTTTTTTCTTTCTTTTTTTCTTTTTTTAAAAAAATTATTCTTCCAACCACAATTCAAAAGCAATGTCTTATTTCAGTAAATTATAATTTAGCAAATTTTTATTTATTATTATTTTTTTCAGTTTCTAGTTATTTGAGTGACTATTGTGAATTTTACCTTTACTTTAATGGAAGGGTATGACTACATCTGAGGACGACTGTATGTAATAGTCCCTTTATGGTTGTTTCAGATAATCAGACAGCTAAGCTTGTTCTAAAACCCATTTTTATTCAGTCTGTCCCATCATAACAGTGCGTCTGCCTTTCAGCATGTTGACCACAGTGTCATTCCAGTCAGAGGTGAGAATTACAGAGGATGTCGCAGCACCACGGTGAAAGAAAACAAGTTCTAATGGTGTCAAAGTGCTAAAACAGACAAATAAACAGCGACTGAGCTCATCCAGCTCCTGGATCATCTCCTCCGGAGTCGCTGCTTCCCTGTAAAATGCTCCAGTCTGCCACGTGAGGGAGGCGCAAAATGGGATGTTGACCCATTTTCTCGTCCTTCTTCTGCTTCTCTCCTCCTCAGGATGAAATATGAGACCTGGCCCATTTCAGCCGAGTCTGTCCCCCGGGCTCCCAGTTTCCTCCAGCGCCAAACTCTGCTGCTCTGCACTGCTCTGCTCCATTCGGCTTTCTTTTTTTTTTTTTTAACTTCACAACTAAACCAGCTCAGACAGGGAACTTTTATTTGACTTTTCTGTCACGAAACCACCCGTCCCATCATTTTGATCCTCTCTCTGCAGCTCAGCATTGGATTTGTTTTTTAGCAGTTGCAGAAAACTTTTATTTTACTCCATGTGGATTCTGAACTCATCCGAACCAAACTGACCTCCTCTGGGTGAAAACCTCCGGGATGGTCGTGACCGTAAACTGAGCTCTAAGTCAGAGAAGCATCGCCTGCATCCCTTCTTTTGTCTGTGTTGCATCTCTGCCGCTACTTTGTTTTTGACACTGGGATGTAAAAGAAAAACAAACAAAAAGAACCCTTCACTTTATCCACAAAGGAATTACGTTGTTTTTTTCCAACCAAGGAGAAATTATGGCGAGAGTTTTATTGAACATGAGTCTCGTTCTGGTTTTTTTCGGATTATTTTTTCTCTCTTCTCCATCCGCAAGAGCCGAGCAGGGGCCGCAGGACGAAGAGGAGGAGGAGAGTTCCTGTCAGGGCGCTTTTGACCTCTATTTTGTGCTCGATAAGTAAGTGGAAGCAGCTTGACACCATTTTTCCTTTCATAAAAACACACAAAGAGGCTGTGCTAAAGCAGTTTATGCGGCTAAAGAAGTTAGCTAGACCCTAAAATTAAGCTAGCATCTGTATTTATTCTTCGTCGCTGTCACGTTTTTTTTTTTTTTTAATCTTTGCTTTATGTGGCATGCTCTAATTGTGCACAGCAGTTTATTTGTTTGAAATGAGGTAACTGACAGAAAAAGTTTAACTTGTTTTTGTTTTTGTAAAAAAAAAAAAAGAAGAAGAAGCTAACGACTTTAGCCGGCTAGCATCTGCGCGTGAACGTGCGCGCGCGATGACGCCGTGCAGGAGGCTGAGTCGCAGTTTGCTGAATCAGCCGAAAGTTGCAGCGATGATCTGATGCATCAACAGTGATCCATCAGTGTTCAGGCTCCAAAACCACACTGTCATCATCGGTAAAAGAAAGAAAACGTCAAACTCCCACAGGCAGAGAGGCTGCTAAAGGCTAAAGGGACTTTTTTTTTCTTTCTTTCTTTCTTTTTTGCTCACCGTTCGCTCTTTCATTCCCACTCTCTGTACGCCCACATAGGAAAAATGTTGTGGTCGTGTGACATCTTAGCGCTGGACTTCAGCAGCTGGGGAGAAAATAAAATGTCAGACAAAAACAGGAGAGGCTTCTTAGAGTGCCTGCTCTTCTCTTGCTCTCTGTTTTCTGACACTAACATCTCAGTTTTTCATTCATTTTAGAGAAATAAAACTGGCTCTAATTGCTGTAAGAGAACAAACCATCACCATTGAAGGCCACAAGGGCAAATTTGTATGTGAGCAATAGTATTATTACTCTCCTATTGTGACCGGGTTTATCTTGAGATAACGTTACCTGGATTTAAAGTAAATTGCTGCCTCAGCTCTCACACTCATGGTGTAATGCCAGGATTGAGGAGGGGGAACAAGACGGGACAGGAAGCAGCAACATTTATGGAAAATGTGGTCTTAATTTGGGGGAGAAAATGTTGCATGTAGCACCTTTAAAAAGCCTGTTTTTGGGTTTTGTCTTGGAAGTTGTGACACACACGTGAGTTTAGGTTTAATTTGAAAAAAGCTACACAATAAACTTGGGGTCTTGGGGTCCTTCCCCTGGAAATTTGAAGTGTCAAACACTTAATGTCTTGCATTGTGGTGAATGCACCAATTTGTATGTTTTCCTGCATCCGTTTTTCTTTGTTTGTGTAAAGGAAAACATGTGACTATTCAAAACATTAGGACTGCATCTAAAGACTATTTTCATTGTTAATGAATCTGTTGACTAGATTGATCAAGTAAGTGCATGATCTATGTTATTAATATTCAGTTAACTGTCATAAAAGAAGAAAGAAACCATAATATAGTGACATTTAGAAAGCTGTAATCATTTATCAAAATAGTTGGTGAATAATTAAGTAGTTTACAACTAATTGATTTATGCAGATCTACAAAATATAATGGAATAAAACAGTAATGTTGTCTGTATTGGTGTTAAATACATATTTGCCTATAGATTTCTCATGTAATATTATCACCATTTGGTCAACGCACATAAACACTAGGCAGGATTTATTCTTTTCTATAAGTAGGTATTCTCTTGAAGTGTGCACACTGCACCTATTTATGTCAATGATACATTCATTTTAGTTCATTTATAATTATACACATTGAGGATAACATGTCCCCTGCATCCTGAAATTTACACCTGTGGTGAGAGAGATGATACGTTTCATGCAGATTAGCATCAGCAGGGAATTTACAGCAGCTCATGCCACAGTGCATTTTCACACTGATGGTCCCCAGAGGGATTTTGGATCATGCTTTGACAGTCTAGGTGTCTTACTGTACCCACTGAACGCCACAGAACCTTTGGCATTTCTGGTTCTGGTGTTTAATTCTCAAGAAAAAAGAAAACACAAAACATGGGACTGCTCCCCAGATGTGGAGGTCTGCATTTGGCTTGTGCCGTGAGGTAAACACTGACACATGCTTCAAATAAGGAAACATCTCAGTTTTTTTTTGCCCAGTACCAGATTCTATTGTTAGCTCTATTGCGTGCTTTGATGCCCACTCTGGGGGCGACTAACAAGACTTCATTTGTGGACTTCAAACAAGAGGAAGCTCATTAGAGACCTGTCTTGGCCCTCCTACAGCCGTCTCTCATCCCCATCCCTCAGGCCTGAGCTGGTTTTATGGGACAAAGCCTGAGCTCCGTGACCTGGTTTGTCCATATGGAAGGCGTAGAGATCATTGTCAGGAGGCTATGAGAGGATGCAAAGGACTATAATGCTTACAGGCCTTCTTTATATACACAAAGAAATACTGCAAAGGCTTCCACATCCTGAAATTGGAGACAACTTCAGTCCAACATTGTGTGCAAGGTTGAATACTGCATGCTAAAGAATGTTGGAGCCAATCTTTCGTCAGTTTTTTAAGACCAAATCTAAAGTCTAAAGCCAAGCTAACAGCTCTGGGAGTGCTTTGACTTGGCTATGCTCACAATGACAGTGCAAACATACTTGTATAATGCCTCCCATGTTGACCCTCAATGTGTTAGCATTCTTATTTTCTAATTAGCACTGAGCACAGCATAGAGCTGTCCTTAGTTTTGAGATGTAGTAATTTAGTTCGGATCATAGTGGTGGACAGAACAACCTACTGACAGACAGACACTTAAAACACTGGCTTTAACATTCAAAAACACAACTGAACACAATCTGGACCGTTGCAAACTGCCTAGTGAGTGCATAGAGGGTTTGTACTTGGTAGAAAATCTTCAGAGCAACGGTTGGAGGTCTGTTTGGATTAGAATAGGTCTGTTTGATAAAGAATGAGTGTTGTAGGTGGAGAAGAGGATCACAAGTTAGTAATGAGAGAAGATACGGCTGTGCTGGGTCATAAAGTGGACTCCAAAAGCATTTATTGCAGACTTGGGAAGATGATGTCATGTCATGGCTCAAACATGCAGGACTGCTGTTGCTCAGACATAAGGGTGGCTGCAGTCTGAAGGGCAGAGAGGGTGGCGAATGGCTGTAATGTTGCCTGTTTGAATTTGGGATCGGGTTTGGAAAATGTGGGCCTGAGACACGTTTTCTAATTCTGTGCGCCCTGCAGAACTCTATACAGTATGCTGAAGGAAAGTAGGGTTGTTACAATACCCAAAGGGCTGAAGGGCAGCAGCACAACGTGACGTCACAGGCCTTAAAGGTAGAAATCAAATAAGCGTAGTAGCTGTGTCGCCCTTCAAACCACAGCAGCACACAGGTGACAAACTGCCACTTTAACACACAGGCAGTAATATCTAATAGGATACACATGCTGGAGTAAATTGAAGACTGCTGACACACATATACTGTACAGGATGCCCAGGCACCACCTTAGGAGCAAAAACTGGCCCAAAATTACTATATATATATATATATATATATATATATATATATATATATAATACAAAGGGTCTCCAAATGAAACATAATGAAAAAAGGGGACTGATTGAAAAAACATGAACAACTCCCCTAGCCAATAAAAGTTAAAAAATGATGTTTTAATTAAATAAAATCTGTGAACATATGTCCTGTAGACACACCCCACCACCCACAGTTAACAGTGTGACATCATAACCCTTTGTTGTGGTGTATGGTATATAGTTCGCAAGTAGACATACCACCGCAATTAACTTGATTCCTGCACTACTGTAACCTAAATAAAGTCACACAGAAACAAGACTGAGAGTCTGCAGACATGCTAGCAGCTCTGTGAGGCGGTACTTAGACACATTGGTGCCTATTGATTTCATCAGAGGGAAAGTCAGGATATCTTCAAAGCAAATTGTGCAACAGTTTTAAAAGTCATTAGGCTTGGAACTATAGACGACTGTATAAAGTTTAATAGCAGTCCATCTAATAGTTACGGACACGTTGGACTGGACCAAGAGACCAGCGCTGCCATCTGCAGAGCCAGCTTGGTTAGAAACATACATACAATAAAAAATCTACCATCCAGTGGCTTATGGTCTCCTTCCCAGAACTACAGAAACAAGATGGCTACATAATGTGGGGGCTTTGGCGCATTGTGCTCATGTTAGGTTGCAGAATTTGTCAGTTAACTGTCACATCATGAAACCATGATCCTTTAAGTTCTGCAGCCATTTGCTGTGTACCTTTAGGCCCTATGTGTGCATAATAGGATGTATATTTGCTGATTCAGAGCGGGCGGGCCGCAGCTTGCTGTTTTATATGGAACATGTTGCCAGAGGAATGGTTTTGGGTGTGTTCATATGGCAGACAAAGAATTTCACCTATAGGCCAAATGCTAATGTTCATCCCTCCATAAAATCTGCATTTAGTCATCTTTGTTTTTGTTGATTTGACATGGGTTATATGACATTGCTGCACGTGGTAATTCCATAGTCTTGCTGTGACGTAAGTTAAGGAAAAGACTTAGAATGAAATAGTATTATATTATGATACAAATGTCACTTGAAGCTTAAAAAGTATTCAAAAAGAGGTATACTGCCTTAAAATCCTATATATTTTTTTTTGCCTTTCTGATGTTTCTCTGCTTTTTGCCTTTCTTTTCCACAGCCTCTTTCCATTTATCTCTCTTTCCATCCCATTACCTCTTCATTCCAGCTTCTTGCTTGTCTGACATGGTATTAGTGCATTTTTATTGTTTTAAGATGTGGAAATACATTATTCATACTTCCAACATAACTGATGCTATTAATAATCAGCGTTTTTCTTTAACCGGTCTGAGTCAAATCACAGCCATCCCCGTCTCGTCTTTATTTTTGCAAACTGTTGTTGTTGATGTAGTCACGAGTTAGCGCTCCGGCTGGGCGTTGGGTCATGCTGCCTGAATCCAGGCAAGTCAGCGGAAAACCCAAACTGCAGCTGGAGTCTGTAAATTCTTCTGATATGTCTGAATACGTTCTAGCTGTGGAATGACACCCGGTCTGTGTTTCGTCCTCTGGTCTCTCGCAGCA